TATATATATATATATATATATATATATATATATATATATATATATATATATATATATATATATATATATATATATATATGTAGATCTGAAGACTTGTTATACACCTGATGATTAAAGGATTAATTGACACAATAAGATTCATATTAATTGGTGATTCAGATGTATTATTGGACTTCAGGTCTATGTGGAGAACACGTTTACATTTTATCTGTTGCAGTGATGCTGAAAGTCTGAATGTAGTGAAGGAAACTACAGGATTCATCTTCTGTCGTCGTGTCTCCTCAGTGACCCTGAACTACACAGAACTCCAGCCTTCAGTGGACCCTGCAGACCCGAACCAGACGGAAGCCGAACCCGTCGATAGCGATGCTTCCTGCCCGTCGATGCTTTGCTCTCCTTCGCCTGCCGGCGATCCGCCCGCCTCACCGAGCGGCTCGGCCGTCCACGGTGGCCGTGTTCCAGACAGGAGGTGGACCGAACACAGTCCGACTCTGAGATCTTCGTGGAAGAAGAAGAGAGGACGGCCGCCGCTCGCCGTCAGGAACAAACGTAAGAGGTCGACTCCAGCTCAGAGCTTCAGCTGTCACGTGTGCGGACGCTCTCTGCAGGGGAAAGGCTTCCTGCTCAAACACGTCCTGCAGGTTTGCGCCGAAGACTCTGACTGCTGCTGTGGCTTCTGCGGCGTGCAGTTGGACTCTGCCGCCGACCTGATGGCTCACCTGCAGACGCACCAGGTGAAGAGCAAAAGCTGCTCCTTCTGCGGGAAAACCTTCCAGTCGATTCTGGCGCAGGAGCTGCACGTGCGTCTGCACACCGGAGAGAAACCGCACAGCTGCGACATCTGCGGCAAGAAGTTTAGCCAGAAGGGCAACCTGTCATCACACATGCGCATCCACGCCACAGAGAAACCCTTCAAGTGTAAAGAGTGCAGCCGGGCCTTCTATCACATGACGTCTTTGGAGCGTCACATACAGGATCACAGCGGGGGGGAGGCGCACTCCTGCAGCGTCTGCGGTCAGGAGTTCACAAAGCGGCGCAGCCTGCGACGGCACATGGCGACTCATCGGAAGGACGTCGTCGACAAACCGAAGAGACGCCGCAGCTCGGCGCGGTCCTTCCTCTGCAAAGCGTGCGGCGACGCCTTCGACAAGAGGACCTTGTTGGTGAAACACGTGGAGACTCACCTGCAGGACCCGAACTGCTGCTGCGGACTCTGCGGACACCAGTACGAATCTGCCGGCAGCCTCGCCGCACACCTGCGCTCCCACCGCGAGATCGGCAATACCTGCCACATCTGCGGGAAGTCTTTCGGCGCTCAGGCGGCGCTGCTGATGCACATGAGGATCCACACCGGAGAGAAACCGTACTCCTGCAGCTCCTGTGGGAAGAGCTTCAACCAGAGCGGCAACCTGAAGACGCACCTGAAGACCCACACCGGGGAGAAGGCGTTCTCCTGCAGTCTCTGCGGGAAGGGGTTCACCCAGAAACAGACTCTGGACACTCACGTCCGCTTCCACAACAAAGAGAGACGCTTCCTGTGCCAGGTGTGCGGCAAAGGCTTCATGCAGGAAGTGGACCTGAAGAGACACATGCTGATCCACACCGGAGAGAAACCGTACAGTTGCCGGGTGTGCGGGAAGAGCTTCCAGGCCAAGCGGTCGCTCAACGGACACCTCAAAGTCCACGCGGCTGAAGGGGGGGAGTCGGGCCCGGACCAGAACTCAGACGGTCTCTACTCAGGATTCATCCAGCTGTAGAGCTTCAGAGGACAGACTGTTGACCCTGCATGTTATGGACAAAAACTGTAACCAACAAGGTTCAACTTTTCAGTTTGACAACTTTACTGTCTCAGTAAGTAGTCAGTACAGTAATGAGTGGTACTCAGTACCACTCATTACTGTACTGTGTAGTAGGGCTGGGCGGTATACCGGTTTTAATTTCCCGTATGATATGAATTCTTAATATACCGTCATACCGGTGCACAGTCGAAACAACTTCTGTCGCTCTTCAACAGGCAGCAAAATATATTGTTCACCGCTGTGAGCGCTACTTCTTCTTCTTCTAGTTTTACGGGGGTTGGCATCCATCTTATTGGTGCATTACCGCCACCTTCTGCTCCGGAGTGTAGATCAGACTATAGACTGAGCGCGCTATGGTGGGAGCTACTTGTCTTAGCTGTATTGAGAGGGAACCCTAGTCATGGTTATAACTTTATAACAACAATTAATAACCTACAACTAACGCTCTTTAACAGAGTAAAACACCACGACACAGCAGTTTGTGACACATAAACAATTTGTAATACTAATAATTGTACATTTATAAAATTACACCGCCGAACTGCATGCTGGGTAAAGCTCGCTAACAACAGTCTGCTAACAGCTGGGAGAGGCTCTGTCGCGCCAGTAACGTTACATTAAAGAACAGAAAAGAGCGATGCAGGATGAACAAAGACTGATCAACAAAAGGTATTTTGGTCAGACACATATGCAACACTGATTACCGTAATATGTGTGGTATTTGTTATAAATGTACGTTGGTACATAGAGGGTGATAATAAGCTGTACATGGGGGGACCTAGGACCCAGGGGAATGTAGGTGAAGGAAACAGGAAGTGACGGAACGGAAGACACGCCACACAAACAGCTGTTCACCGCTCGCTGGCCGGTTGGCCGGCCGGTTCTTTTCGGCGTTAATTAATTAATGCTTTAACGCGAAAAAAAAATACCGTGATATACCGTGAAACCGCCAGAATCTTACAAAATACCGTGATATGCATTTTTGGTCATACCGCCCAGCCCTACTGTGTGGTACTTAGTTCCGTACTGTGTCCGTAGAACTGACTATTAAAACCTGCCTGAAAGTAAATGTCAGAAACATTCAGTCTCTTTAAGTCTGATATCAATAACAACATAAATCAATCGAGCTAGATTTCAGAACTTTAATTAAAATACTTTTATACACAAACATTGTTGACGTGTTTATGACGTACTGTATGTCTGCCGCTGAGGTCGCCACACCCTCCGTTAATCCTTCTTTGAATACGTAGTTTGTTTTTAATGTTAGGCCTCCAGACTTCTCTTGGTCTCTCTCTCTCTTTAATTTTTTGCAACCAGAAGTGAGTGAAGAGGGCGGAGCTAAGTACAACCAAACGCTGAATAATACATTTTTATGCTACTGTGACGTCCATTTCAATAAATGAAACCTGATTTAAATATTGTAGCAGATCATGGATGACATGTGATTCTGAAGGTGAGACTCCTCCCCCTTTGATGATGTCTTTACTATTCACACAGTTCAAACTACGAAAGAGAGCTGAAGAAACATGTATTGTTCTGTAAATATCAGTAGTAGGTGTTTGTATAAATGTCAGTTTGTAAAGCTTCATATCACAAATTAGCCTCGGAGAACTTTACAATCTGTACAACATAAAGCATCAGAAGAGGGATCCTCTGTCAGGATGAAGTGTGATAGATGTCATGTGTACAGAATGAACAACATGACAGAGGTATAACACATTCAATGCATATGACACATTTTTCATATGAGAGTAGTAATGGCAGTATTAATGTTACTAATAATAGTAGCAGTGGGTGTCAGGCAGGACCAGGGCAGGAGACAGGACTACGGTCCAGGTAGAACCAGGATCCATGGAAATCTGCAGGGAGAGAAAATGCAGAGAATCAGAGGAAGAAGTAAAGTTATTAATGGGACATGAATTTATACAGAAGGAGAGAGAGAAGCTCAGTGTATCCTAGGCAGTTCTCTAGCAGTCTAGGTCTATAGCAGCTTATCTAGGGGCTGGACCTAACTATAAACCTGAGCC